GAATAGTGGTTACCCTGGTTCATGTCCAAGTAGTTTATAAATTGGAATTTGGTGTGGTATAAGACATGTTGTTTATGCATTTTAAAAGTGAACTGAATCGGGGTCTTATCACTGTTATCGAACAGTGTTATAGACATTTTTAGTATTGATTTTGGGGTATATGACCCGGCGTGGATGAGGTTGATGCAGGAGAATTTGCTCGAGACAACATCTGAAGGGAAAGGTTTAGGACTTGGCATTTGGGATCTCTCTTTATGTTGACAAAGTTCCGTTGATCAGCCAATGTAAAGTCCATTCAAATACCGAGCGTGAAACGTCATTACGAAAGCTGTACTTGCCCCTAGTAAAACTTACGTTTAAAGAGAAGAAAGTCAAAACACACTGTAAAGTAAGGCTTTTGAAATGGTTGTAGGAGTGTCCCACATTTTGAACACTATGACAAATACATGTTTTACCAGTAATGAAACTGAAATGAATGTTTAAAGAATTAATGAATGAGAACTGCTAGTATAGTTACAAATAGTAAATTATGCAGTGTAACACCTTTGGCATGGTAACCAACATCTTCACTGTATTCAATCTTTTAATCTGATGCATATAATAAGATTTACTGTATATAGTAGTCACTTTTTCTAGGCTTAATTATAACATTACATGTTTGGAGGAACAGATAGACTTTGTGGAAAGTCTCCCCAAACTTCTATTCGATTCTTGAGAATATCAACTAATTATAATTTTGCAAGTGTTGCATAATCCCACTCTCATCCAAATACGTTCAAATGCACGTGTAGTCACCGAAATGAATTGTCGCTGAAATCGTAAGTAAATAAGACCACTAGTGAATAGATGCGCAGTCTTTCAAGTTTTCTGCTTTAACGGGTGAAGTTTCATTAATTCCAACTGCTCTGATTGGTACTGGTAACTCCAGTAGTTCGTTAGTCCAACATTTTCTTGTCACTCCCTGGAAAATGACAAACGTTATGCCACAGTTATTTATTTGTAATATTACCATTCACTCTATTAACATAGAAACTACGCCACAAGAATAAACTTTAATTGATATTCGGAGCGAGATAAGAGATAATATTTTAAACTAACATTTCTAACATTAACTAACATAACTAAGTTTCCTGTTTGCAACAATCAGTGTTTTTTTTTTCTGCCAGCATACCAAGCGTTAGATAGTAAAAACAAGTTATTTCAAGGGCAGTAAACTTGAAACGCGTAATTCGACCGCGATAGTCTACTAATAAGGTGAATACATTGAACATATTGATTGTTCC